CCCTCTGCCTTTCCTTGTGGGCTCTCTCTGTCTCAAATAAATAAATAAAATCTTAAAAAAAAAAAAGACGTTAAAAAGGTAGCAAGAGGGGAATGGTATATCTGCAGAGTAGAATTCCATAGTTATTGAAAGTGACCTTATAAAATTACGTAAATGAAAATATTGCACAGCTTACTAGGCTTAAAAGCAGGTTACAAAACACTATGTTCTGTTAGGAGATACACACATATATACTTCTAGAAAGATATATAATACCAGTGCTTCTTAGACTTTAATATGCATACAAATCTGCATATTGATCAAATCGAGGGGTCTGGTTAAAGCTCAGATTCTGATTCTGTTGGTCTGGAGTGGGGGTGAAGCTGGCGCTGCTGGTGTGTGGGCCAGGGGAGAGGCCAGGGTATGAACAGTGGTGTTTAATGGGTGACTGCACTTTCCTTCTTCCCTCAACTTCTATTTCTAATTAACTTGAGCTTAAAAATGAAAATTAATGGGCATGTGTTATTTTTATGATGAGACAACCACATTAATTTATTTTAAAGAGAGAAAAGAGGGGAAGCAGACCGAGACGCGGCAGGAGACTCGAGGGGAGCCAGTGTAAACCCAGGCAGAGGAGGGAACGTGCGCCCGAGAGAAGAGAGAAGAGAGAAGGCGGAGCACGGGGAGCCTGGGGCACCTCTGCTGATGGTCTGTAAGAGAATCCTGAGGCCAGGACAAGTGGTAGAAGGCAGACTTGCTTGGATCTGCCGTATAAACAGACATAGGTGACATGGAAAGGAAATAAAAAGGAGTGCAGGGACAGGTGCAGACATGAGCTGGAGGATGGGTGTCAGGGCGCAGGTGGCCGGCCCTGCCAGGAGCCCACAGGAGTCCAGCTGGCCCGTGCTACCTCCGAGACTAAAGGGCTTGGGAGAAGCCTTGTCCTGACCCCTCCAGCTTGACGGAACAAGGAGTGGAATCTGCACACAACTAGAAAGCTAACAGAAACTTGTAGAAAGGCAGGCCATAGGTTATGCCTAAACCCAGAATACAGTGAGCTGCATCACTCCCAGGAATGTAGGGATGAGGGACTCTGAAGACCATGACTAAACAAAGCTGGGCTCTCCATCTCACTGGGCTTGGGTAGGGCCTGTGCCCCAAGTCATCTGCACAGAGAAGAAGAATTTCTTGCTTGCAAAGAATCCAGCCTAAGCCGTAGCCCCAAGAAGGCACTCACTCTCTTTGGTGGCGACAACAGAAGTGACAATGGCGAGTGGTCAGGGCCCTATTATTGGACACAAAACAATGAGTGATGAGCCACAGATTCCACAAGGTGCCATCACCACAGAGGGGGTGAAATTCAGGTGTTTCCCATTCCTTAACCAACACTGAGGACTGATCAGAGAGCTCAGACAGGGGCTAGGGTGGCAGGTGCTATTTATTATCAGTCACTATTCATTGCTTGGCAACACTGAAACAGATGATCAGAATCACACAGTGACATCCACACACCATCCAGGAGTTAACCTAAGTCACCAACACAAGGTGGCTGGGAGAGAGCCATCCAGACAGAAGCCTGCCCTCTGCTGGACATACTGATGACAACTTGGATGAAAGGGGAAGGCGAAGAAGTCTCAGATCAGAGAGAAATCCTGGCTACCGCCAAGACCCCACAAACATAATGGGGGGACACAGGAACTTACAGAAGGGTCAATGGATGTAGGGGTATATCATCTCCAGACGTCGATAGTATTTAATGAACTCTGAAAAAAAAATCACTAAATGCCACTTAGAACAATGCCCTGCAGCTCTCTCTCCTTTCCCTCAACCCTTTGTGCGGCTTTCCCCTAGATCCATTCTCCCTCCTTGGATCACTCTTCCATTCACTGAGAAATCGAAGCCTTTTCTGGCAAAGCCTATTTAGAGAGTTGTTTGACCAAAGGAGGTTTGAAATACCAGTTCACGAGAGGCCTGTCAGGACCAGGAGGCACCAGGAGGACTTGGCAGATGGCTGGTTCAAGCCCAGAGGCGGCCACATCTCCACACTCCTCACCTGTTTCCCTCACTCTCTCTGCCATCAGAAGGGGTGTTCTATTCTATTTCTTGCACATGCGATACAACTCTACTGTACCTTGAACCTTTCTCCGTCCCTCCCTCAAATTATTCTTTTTTTTCCAAAGATTTTATTTATTTATTTGAGAGCGAGCGTGAGAGCAAGCACAAGCAGGGGGAGCAGGAGAGGGAGAGGCAGGACCGATGCGGGACTCGATCCCAGGACCCTTAGATCATGACCCGAGCCGAAGGCAGATGCTTAACCAACTGAGCCACCCAGGCGCCCCTCCTCAAATTATTCTTGAGCCATCCTCTATGACATTATCTAAGCCTCTCTGTTTCTAATACTTACAATGTCTCAGAATCAGGTTTGCAGGCATGTGGGGCCTGTTAGCTCTAAAACCACCTCTTCTATAGAACTAGACCATTTAGTTGTAGTATTCTAGCATTTAGTGAACAGGTCTCAAATAGCTTAAACGTTGTGCCTGACTATTCAGCCTCCTCTTTCTACATTGAAAGTTCTAGGTTTTCTTTTGCCTAATTTTGTGTGCAGGCTACTCCATTCTGTGATCAGTTTGAGAGTGCTCTATGGCTCAGTTCTGTTTTTTTTTTTTAAGATTTTATTTATTTGAGGGCGCCTGGGTGGCTCAGTTGGTTAAGCGACTGCCTTCGGCTCAGGTCATGATCCTGGAGTCCCGGGATCGAGTCCCGCATCGGGCTCCCTGCTCGGCGGGGAGTCTGCTTCTCCCTCTGACCCTCCCTCCTCTCATGTGCTCTCTCTCTCATTCTCTCTCTCTCAAATAAATAAATAAATAAAATCTTTAAAAAAAAAAAGAAGTATCTATTTGGTCTTCACTCCTCCTTCTTAGCATGAGCTCCTAAAATCCTTGGAATTTCTGAGTGAAAGGGGTGAGAGTTACATCTTTTGTTATTCATAAGGAGCCTCTTTCATCCACACCTCAGTTTATGCTAATGAAGCATCCTCTCCGAGGATGGGGCTGGTTGCCAGGGGAACCAACCAGAGGGTTGGAACTTTCAGCCCCACCTCCAACCTCCAATGGCCAATGACCATTGATTTCATCAATTGATCCTGTACAATGGAACCCCCCTAAAAATCCTAAACAGTGAAGTTCAGAGAAATTCTGGGCTGGTGAAGACACAAAGGTGCGGGGAAGGTGATGTACCTGGGAAAGCATGGAAGTTCTGAGCAGATGCCCCTATCCCTGCCCATGCATCTCTTCCATTTGGCTGTTTCTGAGTTGTTCCTTTATAATCAACTGGTAACATTAAGTTTCTTGCACATGGGAGTCAACTCTACTGTAGCTTCAAGTTCTGTAAGTTGCTCTAGCAAATTACTGAACGTGAGGAGGGGATCATGGGAACCTCAGATTTATAGCTGGCTGGTCAGAAGTACCAGAGGCCTAGACTTGGGACTGTCTGAAGTAGGGGCAGTCCTGGGACACTGAGACCTTAATGTCTGGTGTCTGGCACTCTGGAAAATGTCAGAATCGCCTGCTGTGAGGGAAACCTCCCCACCCCCACATTTAGTGTTAGAAGCTTTGTGAGTAAAAACCAGTTCATGGTAGCATGGAACACCATTTGGTGTGTGATGACTCAGGTCCATCATGATGAATGATGCGTAAGTGCTTTTACGACACCAAGGTGTCCCCGGGGATTCCTAAATAAGATAGGGCTGTCTACCACGCCGGGGCCTCAGCCTATTACTTAAAAAAACACATTAATTCTGTGAGCTCCTCCCTCTGTTCTATAGGACTCTGAATGTATTTGTTTTTAGAAGTGCTTCCCCAGTCTTTCCCTTAGGCTGTCCACTTGCTAGTTTGCAGTAAGGATAAAGCCGATACCCCAAATGACCAGTAATCCTAGGTGGATATGTAATTCCAAGTCTCGAGACTCTGGCCTCAAAGTGGCTCCATGCTGGGCACACCGACATAGCTTTACGTCAGCTAAGTACGGAATTTTTTTACTTTCTTATTTCATTTTATTTACTTTTTATTTATGCTCAAAGAAAGTGCAATAATGACACTTACTAACAAGAAAGTTTTATGAGCAAAGAAAATACCAGTGAAGACATATACTGTTAGGGATACCACTGGGGAACAGGAACTGGGCACTTTGACGCGTGTTAAATAAGGTCACGTCTAAGGCACACTCATCTATAGAATGAGGGTCAAAGCTTTCCTAAAATAAAGTACTGAATGTTGTTATTCCTATTATATCCTATATCCCAGAATTTCTTTCATTAATTTCTCAGCTCTGGATATCCGAAAATGTCAGTGAAAGTGATCTTAAACGAGTCACAACTCTTTTTCTCAAGGCACTGAATCCACCCTCCATCCTGCAGCCTGACCTGATTTTCTCCATCAGCTGCTGCCCTGCTCTGGGACTCCTGCTGCTTCCACAATGGGTACTGATTAGAGTCTAAAGTCTTGGGCTGGCTGGCAAACACCCCAACAGCTCGGTCCACATGTTCTCTGCCAAACTAACCCTCCACTTGGCCTTCCTCTCCTTCTGTCCTCAGCCCCACCACACACACCGTCCCCGGAACACCACCAGCCCGGGCTGCCCTGAGACCTTGAAGTTGTTTCCTCTGCCCGGATTCCTTCTTCTCCACACCTGCCACTGGAAGTCTTCCAAAACCTCCAATTCCATCCCCTCCAAGGGCTCAGGAGGCTCTTCTATTCCCTTAGACCTGCTCCTTCCCTCCCTGCCTCCCACGTCCCCCTCCCACCTAATTTCTTGTATTAACACTCCACAGTCAGGGCTGTTCAGGAATCATTTCCTCTGTCAGACCTGGAGGCCCTTGAGGGCGCTCTGCCTTCCCCATACCTCCCAGCACAGCAGCTGAGATGTGATGGAACGGGGAAGAGACGCAAGCCTTGTGCATGGAAACCATGCCAGCCCTCCCCCCCGACTCCACGCCACGAATCTCGAGATCTTTGCATACTCACGGTTTCCACAGTTGAGACCACCAAGCCCAAATGGGCAACTGCAAGTCAACAGAGAAAAAGAATGAGAATTAGTTTCAACAATCAAAAGAAATAACTGAGGCAATCTATCCAAGTAACTTCTAGGTAAAGTTTGTAACAAATACATCAGAATAAATGAGCATGGAGCCTACCTCATACAGGTTTCATTTTCGAGTCTATATCCATCTTCACATGCTGAAAGAGAAAAAGGAATATCCATGAATATGTCCCTTGACCTCCCTTGGCCCAAACTGACAGTTATTAGACACCAGCCATCTTCAAGTCCACAAGAATATTCTAGAGCCAGAAGCCTACAAACAGCTTTAGAATTATCCATAACTTGTGAGCTCAACTGTTAATTTTTTAAAAAGATTTTATTTATTTATTTGAAAAAGAGAGAGAGAGCGCATGAGCAGGGGGAGAGGGGGAGGGAGAAGCAGACTTCTGCTGAGCAGGGAGCCCGATTCGGGGCTTGATCCCAGGACCCTGGGATCATGACCTGACCCGAAGGTAGACGCTCAACCGACTGAGCCACCCAGGTGCCCCTTTTAAGTTTTTTTTTTTTTAAAGATTTTATTTATATCACCAAATTTTCTTAACCTTTTAGTGGCTCTCAGTTTCCCATCTATATTTAAAAAAAAGGATCATGATAGCAATAGTAATATCTACCTTATCATTTCTTGGAGGCAATTATGTAAAATAAGACATGTAAATGGCTTAGCACAGTGCCTGGCACATAGTTCGCACCAAATAAATGATTATAGTTGTAATTATTATCCAACACATGCAATTCTCTTTGGAAGTTCTCTGTGGCCCCTGTATAACATCCTTCCATATACACAAAGACAAATGCTTTACCTTCTTTAACGTAGGTCAAACCTTTAACCTGCTGTTGGCCCCAACGGCCCCTTCCAAGAGGAGGTAGAGCTGTGATATCCTCTGGGACATGGTCCTGGTGGATGCCTCAGTTTTCATAGAATGCTCGCCCTATCTATAGTCTGTGCAGGGGATTCTGGACATATCTAGGTGAGTGCTAATCAGCACAGCACCCAAGAACGGAACTTGGAACCCTCTGGTGGTGCTGCTGATGGACTGGAGGGCTGTGGTCCAGCCATTCCTGTGGGTCAGCAGTTCCTGAATTTATTTGATCATGGAACACTTTCAACACTACAATAAGCTGACAGAACAGCGTGAGCTATAATGCATGCTTGGATGAAAGCAGACAATAAAAAATGGCCTCATCGTCAAATTCATTGCTGCAAGAAGTGATAGAAATTTGATTCATGAATAATGTACAATGCACACTGCATAAAAGATCACAGATAAGAAAAGGTACACAGCGTAGAGCAGCGATCCCCAGACAGACAGCACACATGCTGACAGTGGGATGTGAGTGTCGGCAGCATGCTCGGCTCGGGGGCGGGGGCGGGGGGGGGGCGCACACCCTGGGGGCTGGGACAGGAGCTCTCTCCTCCACGTCCCACATCCTCTGCTACGGATTAGTGCATGATAATATTAACTGATGTAGATGTGCTCATTGCTGTTCTTCCTTCTATGTTTAATGTTGGATGCTACATTTTTCTAGCATCTCTTTTGTTGTCAGAGGTTATTGACGAATCACTACAGCTGACTGGAACAGTTCAGAAAACACTGCTCTTGATAGTCTGCAAACCCTTCCAGCAGATCACTGAGAGCTGGAAACCTGGCCCGCACCGTTGTGGCTCCGCAGAAGCGCCTTTCTTGAGCCACAGTCTCTTGCGTGAAGGGCTATTCTAAGCAGCAGTGCTGGGCAAGTCCCTGGGACTTAGCGTAGGCCGCCATGGACCCCACTGCCACAATACCACTCAGTAACCTCTCAGGGAGGATGCCCCACAGAAATTCCTCTTGGGCCTTGGGTCCTAAAAAGATGGGGATGCTCTGAACAACTGTATTTTATTTTATGGACCCTGGCTCTTTTTAAAACCATATTTCTTTCTTTGTCTCAGTATCCAAGAAGCTCAGAGCTGGAGTGAGGGGCTTGCCTTTAGCAAACACGTGGGACCTTATAGCCTACCTTTCTGCATTTTTTGCAACAAAGTAGGGCAAAATCATATCCCATTTAGGGAAGGAGGAACGAGGCGCCCTCCCACACCTTTGACATGTTTGAGACTGCTGCTGGCCTTACTCAGGCGAGGCTCCTCTGAGGAACAAGCTGAGAACTCCTGCTTCCCTGGGTGTGGAAAGCACTGGGCCCAGGCTGTCCTCATGCTACAGTGGTTTGTGGGAGTCGGGGAGCCAGCCCTGGGTGCCCCATGGCTCTGTCTGCAGGCAGCTTCCTAGGGACGGCTGGCATCCCCGTGACTCATCCCCATCCATCTCGGCACCGAGGCAGGCTGATGTCACACCAGTCTGTTCTATTCTGAACACTTCTTCCTGGAAATGTTTTTACATCAGATCGACCCACCCAACCCTCATCTGCTGGGTGGGAGCTTTCCACCCCGTGGCTGTCATCCTGCCAGACGGAACGTCCATCTGTTGTCCTGCCCACGAGCTGACGGGCTGGGCTGTTTTCACTTGGCTTCGGAAGGGGCCTGACTTCCTGGTGTAACAATACTTCTTTACTTCAAATGGGCTCGTTCCGTCATTCGTCAAAGACAGCGTGCCGCCACGGGCCTGGTGCTGTCCTCGGGGTTCTTGGAGGGAAAGCTCATCAGAAGGCTCCAGTGTATCTTAGGTTCCAGCTCCTCTTCTCCACACACTGGCAGGACAGTGACCCGTGGGGCACTGAAGACAAGAGGAGTGTAGCAACGGCCAGTCTTTGTGCCCAGACTGGGCTTCCCCTCCTGCCATGCGACACAAGCCAATGCAAGTCTTCTGGCCTTTTTGGTAAAATAAGTGGTGGAGTCTTCAAGGCTCATTTTGTTCCCAAGACCTGCCACTCTTGTCCTATCATATTTGCTGCCCTGCCATCCATTTGTTAATTCGACAGACATTTGTCAAAGGCCACAATGTGCTAAGCATATTCTAGACACAGGTCTGGCTTTCAAGGCATTTGCAGCCTGGTGAGAGAAAGAGGCCTGCATGATGGAAGGAAGCTAAGACACCTGTGGGAAGGACACCTACTTTAATTTTATATGACGCTTTGCAAGTCTGGTAAAGACACCGTGAAGCTCTTTTATGTGAAACACTAATGAGTGCATATATGTGTACAACAGAGAACAATACAGGCTCGCTGATGTACAGCTTTAGAAAACATACCCACATACCCCTAGCCCCCATTTAGACTGAGCACTGACCTCAGATTTGAGGTGTCCAAAAGGGGACTTATTTTAAATACCCCTGTGCTCCAGCATCAATGGCCAGAAGATGTCACTGCAACCCATCAGAACCCAGCCAACGGGGCTGTGGCCTGAGGACCTGCCAATTCCGTTCATCAGAGGCCTGATGGCCACGGATGAAAGTCTAACCAACGAGGATACTACAGAAATGAGGCTTAGCAGGGCCTTGGCAACAAGCCCGAGAGCCAACCAAGGTATCCTCATGCTGCATCTTGGGTCCTTACTTGATCAACATACGGTTGCCGGAGGCTGTCATTGCATTTGAAAAGTCTCGGACGGTCCTGCTATCGCTAATGCTAGTCTGCAAGCGAGACAAGTAAGAAATCGCTGACTTGGAAACAGAGGCAAGTGGCTGGGGCCGCCAGAGCAGAGGTGGCAGGGCCGTTCTCGAGGCTGTCAGAGACTCCAGGGACTCAGTGTACTGGGGCCACCACTCCCATGGGCCCCACTTCTACCCACCCCGCCTTCCCTCCTGCCAGCTCTCCAGCACCCCAGCACATGGATTTAGCAGAGGTCACCTTCCCACATGAAGCGGGGCTCAACGCCCCAGTCTCCAAGAAGAGCAAGGAATACTTTGCATTAAACCAGGTAAGATGGAACTAGGAATCTTCTGTGCATCAAAGGGGCACACTGACATGCGCTGATCAACGCTGCGAGGTCACCACGCCTCAGGACTGCTGGCCCGCACACGGGGTCAGAGCCCAGGGCAGGGCCGGCGTGCAGAGCAGAGGTCCGCACTTCCAAAGCCATTGTGTACAAACCTGAGTCAGGAGGTCTGAAGCTCAGGACGACCGCACGGCCCTGAGATGTATTTTTATCCTCTCCTGATGGAGCCAGTCTCCACTGGGAGGTCCTGATAGCAAGAAGTGGCATGTCACCTTTCCCTAGTATGTGACTTCCACTCAGGGTCCAGTACATCTGTCCACAGCAGGTGCTGGCCAAGCAGGAAGCCTGTGATGCAGACACTCCCATGTGGTGCAATAGGCTGCCAGCTACACGAGGGCCTTGGGATTGCTCGTTTTTCTGGGGATTACAAATTCCAGCAGTCTTTTATGAGGCAGAGACACAGTGCGCTGGACTTGAATGAATTTTACTTTACAGCAGCATTCTGGCCGTGCACTCACGGAGCGCCCTTTATTTCAAACTGAACGAATTTGAGTCTCACCTAAACGGTTAGCAGAATTACACCCTTACACCCCTCATGAAACCTTTAAACCTAGAACTCACTAATTCAGCCCTGTCCTGGTGAAAAGCAAGGGTTGATGCTGATGGCTTACAAAGCACCTCCCTATACACGGCCTTCCTCAATTCCTAGAATGTCCAAGGGAGCACCGCTGTACCCATTTTGCAGAAGAGGAAAAACAGGCTCAAGCAAAGCAAAGTGTCTGGCCCAGGAAAATACATGATCCGTGAGGTAGAGTCGGACTCTGACTCTCCTAAGCCTCAGCAGGACTTTGTCCATGAGGCCACAGCTGCCTCTAAAAGGGACAGGCTTGGTGCGCCTGGGTGGCTCAGGTGGTTGGGTGTCTGCCTTTGGCTCGGGTCATGATCCCAGGGTCCTGGGATCGAGCCCCACATCGGGCTCCCTGCTCGGCAGGAAG